GCCACCCGGCCGCTGCCCCCGACGGCCGGCAGGGTGCGCGCGCCGGCCCCGAAGGTCGCCGGCTGTGAGGAGGGGAAGTTAGCCCAAAGGCCGGGCCGCAGGCTGATCCTTAGGTAGCGCTTCCCGCGCCTCGGGGTTATCCGATGATCCAGGATCCAGGGGGGACGGAGGAAACCGCCGACAGAACGCAGTTCTGCGAAAAACTAAGCAACCTGGTAGAACGGACTGAGATGGCTTTTTGTTAAGGCGGAGAAACAGGTGCTGAGCATAAAAAACAGAACTAGGAGCCTCCTTTCGGAGGAGGGGGAGGGGAGGGAGGGAGGGAGGGAGGTGCAGGGGAGGGGTGGAGGGTGGAGATTCCATGAAAGACTAAAAATAGACATTCCATTCGCTCTAGCTGTACGCGGAGCCGTTTATAGCAGCACAACTCATAATAGCTCAGTCTTGGAGGCAGCCCGTACTTCCATCAGCAGAGGGGTGGATACAGAACGTGTGGTATTTACACACCGTGGAGCACTGCTCTGCCCTAAAGAAGGATACACGAGCTACTTGTAGGAAAATGGGTGCAGCTCGAGACCATAACGTTAAGTGAGATAAGTCAGACACACAAGATTAAATATTACATGGTTTCTCTTCTGTGAGAAACCCAAAGAATAAACAAACGAAAGAGCAAAATAAAAGATAAATAACAGGAAACGGGGAGGTCGGTCTTTTGCAAATGAGAAGAGGACCAAGAGGCGGGCAAGGGGAAGGAGCCAGAGAGAATTAATGTGCCATGTGCATGTACAAGTCACGGTGAATGTGAGCGCCGTGGGCTGGGGATTTAGCTCAGCGGCAAAAGCGCCTGCCTGGCAAGCGCAAGGTCGTGAGTTCGGTTCCCGGTACCGGAGAAAAACCAAAAAAACCGAACAAACAAACAAAAAAGAATGTGAGCACCACGCACCGCAGATGCGCACCCTCGAAGACGAAAAGAATAGGAAGGAAAGCGGGGAATCCCTGGCGGGGCTGTGAGAGGGCGCCAAGGGAGCGCAGCGCTGTGGATGCAGTTCAAGAACGTGGAATTCTGCTTACTCCCAGCCTAAGGAGACTCCCGGGTGAAATTATAATTTGGCCAGAAAGCTGAAGAGGAGTTTATTAACATGACCAATACACAAGACTTGCGTTTCCTTCCCAGGCTCACTGTGCTTGTTTCGTCCTCGTTTGACCAGGTGCGTGCAAGGATCACACAACGATCAAGGAGGTCCTTGCAGCTGACCAGCCTTTTGCTTTTAACTGTTCAGCCCCTTCCCTGACTTTTGGGGACGTGAATGTGACGTGGTACAAAGCGCCCAGCAGCACCCCGCTCTCCAGGAACATAAGGTGGAGAGTTCACCAGGAGCGGACCTGGCTGCTGTTTCTTCCTCTGAGAGCAGAGGACTCCGGGATGTACCAGTGTGTTATAAAGTAAGTTTCTCATCTAAAGTAGGATGGAATCCATCTCCCTCTGTATCTGTCTTTTAAGAGCATTTGCAATGAACCTAGAAAACGCAGTGAGACAATATGGCATAGGTTTATAGTTGTGATAAAATGATTTCTAATGAGCACGTTTGAAATGCCTTGACTAGGTAATAGATTTAAATCGACTTTAAATAGATTTGTACACCATTTTAGGACACGAAATGCATCTTTTACCCTTGAAATTTTGCTTCACGACAGGCCAGCTTATGAAGTGTGTTGATACCAATGTGCCTGCTGCTATCTTTCTTGGAAGTGCTGGTGACAGGCGGCACATGCAGGGTGGGGTGGGGTCGGGCTTCTTGGGGACTCTTTCATGAGGAATCTGCTTTCAGGAAGCATGGTGCCAGCTCAAACCCCGCGCCAGGCCCTGCGCTGGGAGCTGGTGTCACTGAGTTCCGGGGCTTGTCGGGCCTTTTGCGTTGCTTTCAGCGTTTGGATATTGGAAGTAAAGTTGGTGGGAGGCAGCCAAGCCAGGAGGGGACTGTGCTCACTGGAAAGCACATGTCCTGCCACGGGTAGTTGTCTGCTTCAGTGTGTGTGTGTGTGTGTGTGTGTGTGTGTGTGTGTGTGACTATTCAACTTGTAAAACTCTGTGAGAGCTGCATAAAACACATCCCTGGGCTAAATTTGGCCCAAGGGCCACAATTTTATCATACTAATTTACATGACCTTTACAAATTATTTGACCTTTATGAGCCTCAGTTTTCTTATCTGTGAACTGGAAGCAATCCTGGCTGCATACTGATGAAATAGAAATACACAGAGCTCCTGGATGAAGCAGCTACTCCATTCTGTCTCTTATTTTGGGCCCAGAAGGCCCCTTTCTGTGTCTCAGAGTGGCTCATGGTCCCACTTGGAGTCCTGCCAGATTCCTGGCTTTCATCCATCCGGCAGACTTGGTGTGCAGAATGACTTACTGATTGTGCAGGTCAGTGATAGCAAACCTTTTAGAGCTTTCAGTGATAACAAACAGCCCGCTGTGGCATGCGTGCCGCAGATGTGTCACCTTTGGTGGACTGTGAATTATTAACTGGAGCTGGAGATCATATATCAGTAAATCCATTTGCATGTTAGAACTGGGTTTAAATATTTCAGTCTGGGAGCTCTGAAATGAAAAGGAATCATCTTTCGTAGCCATTACACCAAGGCACTGTGTGCCGAGGCAGAAAACAAGCATGGATCCTCCAGATGTGATGTATACTCAGTAAAGGGTACATTTCCACTTTAAAATAATTTCAGACTTACATAAAGTTTGAGAAATAACATAGCAAGCTCCTGTCTATCCTTTACCTAGATTTTTCATTTTAAAGTAAAAATTTTCCATTTTCCTTACAATTTTCTGTTTCCATATATGCAGGTCTCTCTATTTTTTTTACCTGAAGCCATTTCAGTTGTACACATCGTACCCATCTTATTGCTTAAGGATGCAATGTATACTTCCTATCAACAAGAACGTTCTCTAACCTGGTCACAGTGCAGTAATCCCACCCAGGAAACTCAGGCCCTGGATAGCACTTTCCTCTGTAGTTTGTGTTTGAGTTGTGTCAGTGGTTCCCTCAATGACTCATGTAATTTTTTCCTTACCAGGACAGATCTTGTACTGTATTTGGTTCTGTAAATATAGTTGGCCACATTCCTTTTGCTCTCTTGGCTAAGGTGGCCCCTGTGGAAACCCCATGTGTCTCTCCTGATGGATGCGTTGTTGGCTGTGTGTTGTTCTGTGTGAGGCAGGTGGTTTGTACCATGCCTTGAGTGTGACTTGGACAGATGTGAAGAGAAACAGAATTGCTTGGGTTTTTGATTGCATAAGAGTGTATGGGGTTTCACGCTGCGATTTTCTCACAGGAACTTCAAGAGTTGCTGCAGAATACACGTTAACATCACTGTTGTAAAGAGCTACTCTTGTGTCCACTCCGGAAGCAGCTCGGCAAATTTATCCGATCTCAATCAAATATTATACCTTAACAACTCTGGCAGTCTGCAATGTTACCTGGAGTTCCCAGACAGTTGTGTTTTGGGTCCCATCAGGTGGTACAAGGTAAGAAAAAAAATTCTGTTGATACCTTTTCTCCTCTTTTCAAAACTCTATTTATTGTTTTCTAGGTCAAGTTGGATTTTTAAGGGGAAATTTGGTGAAGAGATTTGTGTGCCTAACATTTGTTAGTTTTAGCTATTGATAACATTACCCCACTAATTATTCCTTATTTGAAGCTTATTGGTACTATTTGTACCCCCTTCCAATTGCCCTTATTTTGAGGGCTGTTCTCTTCCTGCCCGATATTAATTAGCTTGTTGGAATGGCTACTCTCTGACAGTGGTCCAGTAATTAAGATTATACAAAGCCACCTCCTGGAAATCCCATCATGCCTTTGTCTGTGCCTGGTGCTGTTCGTCTCTGATCCCGTGCGGGTTTCCAGCCCTTCCTCTGTACACACACACAGCCTCCTCCTACATCTTCCGCTCACTCCTCCAGTCTGTGCTGACACACAGACGGCTCCCCACAGCTGGCCCACCTGAGACAGAGGCTTCCCCGCCCCACCCGTGAGTGCCGTCCAGGCCCACGGTCCGGGTCACGAGTTTTCTTTATGGGATTTATACAAACACCTTACTTTTTTGTCGAGCAAGTTTTGTTTTCCCAGAAGTTGCCACTACCTTAGAGGTCTCCTCTATGCTGACAAGCTGTCATCTCTTCTTTTTTATTGTCTTTTTCACAGTAAGGTTGACTTTTAGTCCCTCTGTGTGTACAGTCTCTTCCTCTCTCTCTCACACGCAGGTACCTGATTCATTTCATGAAAGACTGGTCAGTTCCAGCACCCTTTCCAGAAGTCCATGTTTGGCTTTGTTGATCTTCTCTGTTGCATGTGTCCTACGCATTTAGGTTGTTTCCAGTTTCCTCTGTTACAAGAATGTGGAAATGAGTGTCCCATATCTGTCCTGTTGTGCATCTTTGCTGGGCTTGAGCTCCTCGCAGGTACCAATGGTCCACTGGGCCTGGGGTTTCTAGTGAGAGTGACCACGTTTTCTGTGTTTACTGTCCATTTCTGAATCCTCTTCTGTACTACCCACTGCATCTTCGGCTATAATGCTTTTCTCACTTTTTCTTATTGACTTGTAGGAGATTTTATGTATTTCTATGTCTTGGATAACAGTGTTTGGCATGGATTGAAAGAGTCTTTTCCTTGATGTGTAATGTATACATGAAAATACATCACTCAGAAGCAGACAAGCCTGGTGGATTATCAGGAATAGGATATATCTTCTAATTACCCTTTCCCATCAAGGTCGAGACATAAATTACATGGGAGCCTGCTCACCTCTGCTGTCCTGTGAAAACTATTCTCAACTTATTCCCAAAGATAACCACTTTCCTGATGTATACCGTCACACATTAGATTTGCACTGTTTAGATTCTGTTTAATTTGGATGATATTTTGCATAGAATTTTGTGTGTAGCTTCCCTGGATCAATAGTGAACTGGTGAGAGTTGCCTGGCTCCTCCATGGTCATTGCTGTATAGTATCTCATCATCATCATCAGACTTTTGTGTTGTTTCCGATTTGGGGGTATTATAAGTAAAGCTGATACATACTTTTTGGTTCACTTATGCATATAATTTTATGGGGAATTTTATATAAGAATGAAGTGGTTGGGTAATAGGCAAGGTGCTCAAAATTTATAGAAAGTGGCAAACTGATTTTCAAATTGGTGTGCCAATTTATAGTTCCATCAACAGCGAGTAAGAGTTATTTTTATTCCTGTATCTGATACCATATGGTATTTTTAGTCTTTGTCTATATGTGTGGTGCTGGGGACTAAACCCAGGGCCTTGGGTATGCCAGGAAAGTGCTCTACCACTGAACCACACACCACACCCTCAGTCCTAGTATTTTTAGCTTCTGCCAGTAGATGCCTAAGCAGTTGTGTCCTACTTTGGTTTCAATTAACATTTCCCTGATAAATGATAGTGTTGATCTGTTTAAGTTTGTGTATTGGCCATTAGATATGAGCGCGTGTGTGTATGTGTGTAATACTTTCTATGGAGTGCTTGTGGAAGTATTTCGTCTGTTTTCCTACTTGGTTGTCTCACCTAGAGGTTCTCAAACTTTTTCTGTAAAGAGCTAAATAGCAAAGATTTTGGGCAATGCAGGCCAGATAGTCTGTTTCAGTGATGCAATTCTGTTTGGTAGCAGTTGTAGGTGGAGTGGAAATGCACGGGGGATGGGTGTGTTCCCATAACATTTTGTTTACACAAAAGAGTGGTGACCTGCATGTGGCCTGTGGAGAGTTTGAGCCTCTTTTCTACTTCTTGTTGATTTACAGCAACTCTTTGCATACTTGGGTGTCAGTAACCCTAGTCTTTGCTCTTTTTGTTCTTGTAATTAGTCTTCATGTTTCCTAACTTTAATGTAGTCTAATTTATTAATTTTTCCTTTCTGATGAGAGGTTTTTGTGAACTGTTTAAGAACCTTTTCCTGTCTCAAAGTTTTTCCCATATTACCTTTGAGACATTTTGTTGTTTCCTTTTCTGTTGGTATTTAAGTATGTGGTGTTGCATAGGTTCAGTTTAATCTTTTCATGTACAGATTTATAGTTTCTCTACCTACATTGCTGCACATGCTCTGATGGCTTAAATGCAATTGCTATTTGCATGTGGTCAGTTTCTGAACCCTCAGTGGTGTTTTGTTCCACTTGGTTAGCCACGTTAATTATTGTGGCATTAGGTAATGCCAGTTTTATAATGAACTTGTTAATTTTCACAAAAAGACTTCTGAAATCTTGATTGCAATTTTACTGGGTTTATATGTCAGTCTAGATGTGTGAACTTCTTTTTACCTGTTGTCCTTCTCCCTTGAGATTATCTTATCTGTTGCAGTCCTTTAAATTTTCATGTGAGTTTTAGAGTCTGTGTGTCAGTTTTCACAAAAATTATATTTCAAATTTTAACTGTGTTCCGTTATTAAATTTAGCAGAGGTGGATATCTTTATAATTTCAAGTCTTGTAAATTGTAAATGTATCCTTCCATTTTATTTTCTTTGATTTCTCACAAGCACATTTTATAATTTTTGCTAGATATCTTACTCATGTCCTGTTAGAAATCTAATAATTTCCTGGGAAATTGAGGTTTTCTGGTAATATTACAATGGTATGCTTTTTGTATTTTTATGCTCCGTTTGTTGCTGGTATGTGGAAACACAATTCATTTTTGTACATTGTTCTTACCTCTAGCAACCTCGGTAAACTCATTTCTTTACTTTAATAATTGAACTGTAGACTCTTGGATTTCCTAGATACACAGTCACATTTGCAGGTTAAGGGCAGTTTTATTTCTTCCATTTTTAGCATTGTAACTTCATGTCTTCTCCCTTCTTTGTTTTGCAAGCTGGTATCTCCAGAACACTTTGGACGCTATTGCCCGTCTGGCGTTATCTCTCTAGTTCAATGCTATTACTGCTCTAGAATTGTTATTTGCCACTATATAAATTGCTACCCAGATGTAGCAGTCACAGTCTTTTGTGTCATTATACTGAAGCAAAAACTTTCACCATTTTACCATTACAATGATGTGTAAGATATTAAGAAATACTCTATCAATTTAGGCAACTTTCCCTAGTATATTTGTATGTTTATTATGAATTGGTGTTAAATTTTATAAAATATCTTTTTGACTTTTCACATAATTTTTCTTTTTATTTGACATGTTGTGTAACAAGAATTGTTTTCTGACTGTTATATAAATTTTGTATTCCTGGAATAACTCAACTTGCTATGTAGCCCTTTTACTTCATTGCCAGATTTGGTTTGCTAACTTTTGTTTCACATTTTGCTCCTGCGTGATGAATGATACTAGTATGTAACTTTTGTTTCTTATTATATCCTTGTCAGATTTTGATATGAGTAATTTTTGGCCTTGTAAAATAAGTGGAATTAAGTTTTATTTTTCTTTTTTCTAGAAATGTTTAAGATTAGTTTTATTTTTTATTTGCTTTTAGGGTGTCATGGTGCCAGCTGGCACCGGAACGTTCATTAAGGGAAAGTTTTAGGTTACGTATTCATTATCCGCAGTAGTTAAAGAACTAATCAGAGTCGCTGCTTCTTGTAGCATTTTAGCATGTTGTGCTTACGTGGAATTGTTGTTTCACCTGTTAATTGCTAAATTATTGAGATGAAAGTCTGAAATTGTACTCTTGCTGTCTTTTTGGCATTCACAGGTTGGTTGTGAGTTTTCCCTTTTCATTTTAGTGTCATATATTTCTGCTTTCTCTCTGTTAATTATTCTTCCTAAGCATTTATCAGTTTTACTAGCGCTTTTAAAGTGCTAGTTTTAGGCTTTGTTTGATTCAAATTATTGTTCTTTTGGTCCTTTCTTTCTGTCTCTACTGTCCAGTTTTACTCAGGCTCTACTTAGCCTTAATCTGTGGCAATAGCATTGCTTCTTGATCATTAGATTGGCCGTGTTGTAATCTTTCCTTATGCATCAGTTGATCATCTTGGTTTTCCTATCCCTAAAGCTTCAGGTATCCAACCCGTCTTTACGGTTTTCTGGCTGGACCCTGAGCTGTCTCATTAGTTTTATCTCCATTGGTCTTTCCTATCCCTGCACCTTAGCCACAGTGCTCTGGGGTATTTTGTATCCCTGGAACACTGTACATGCTGGGTTATGAGTGTTCTTCTGAGCTCTTGGACTATAAGAGACATTCAAATATTGGCTGCTATTATTATTCATATTTTAATTTTGAATTTTGGCAGTGAGACGTTGGCCCCCAAATTTTAAAATGAAAATCGAGTCTTGTAGAGTTTAATGCCCCAGTGGATGAGAACAGGGGCCGTCCAAGTCACTGCCACTGAATGGCCTTTAGGTAGCAAGTCCAAACATTGATATGAGTAAATGTTTGCCTATCACAAAGGGAAGAACAAGTCCATCAGAAGTGGGTGAATAGTTACTGTTTTTCTATTTGGTGGGCAATTGTCCAATGATAACCTGGTTTCCCCTGTAGGGTACTTACAGGGAGACAGTGTAGGACTTCTAGGCAGTCACTGTGTGCATTGTAAATAAACACTCATTCTGGCCATATTCGCTGAGTTCCGTCCTGTCCCATGAGCTTATTCACAGGGCTCTGGGGTGGATGGTGGGGTCTGGTTGCGAACTGAATCATGGTTGGCTAAGGGAAGGGAGCTCAACACTTGTGCAGTGACTGTTTCATTTCATCAGGGTGTGTGTGTTTGTGTTATGCATTAGATTGTGAGTCTCCTGAGGACAGCACTGTCTTCCCCCATGGTGCTGGGAAAGACAGGAACACAGGTGTTGGACTGAGGAGGCACACTTGGCCGGCCGGGCAGGTGCTCTCAGGTGCTCTGCGGAGTGGAATAGGACAGAGGAGCGGGCGGGGCCCATGAACAGCAGGTGTGGGACCAGCACGAGTGTGTGAGCTTCTGAGAGGCTGACAGTGGGGAGTCCAGCCTCTGGATGCTGGCTGAGGAGGACAAGCGGAAAAGGCGTTCTTGAGCTGAACTGGTCTTCGTGTTGGCTGGCTTTGAGGCTGCTCCTTGCCAACGCAGTGGGTGATGTGAGATGCCATAGGTCACCTTCTCTCTGCAACCTGGTTGCTGCTCAGGCCTCCACGTAGGATGCAGGTGAAGAGTTATTTTGGATTCTGTAAATTAAAACCCCAACCGGTGGAGAAGCTGTTTTTGGGGCTGCAACATGGTAGAAGCAGCCGGGACTCACCTGGGCTGGTGGGAGTCGGGTAGAGATTGGCCACGTGGTGGGAACATTCCTGCCTGTTCTTGCCCTCCTGACAAGACCCTGTGTGACTCGGCCCCATAAAGTATTCTTTGTCAACATCTGTAGACGATGTTGTATAGATACAAATATAGATTCCATATATAGAGAGATCACACACACGTGCATGCACACACACACACAGACTGAGCAAGGGATTGTTTTCTCCATCCATCCATCCATCCATCCATATCTATCATATCTGTCTATCTATCTATCATCTGTCTATCTATCTATCTATCTATCTATCTATCTATCTATCTATCTATCTTCTTATCTACCTACCTACCTATCAACAACCTTCTGCGTAGATGGTAAATAACAAAGTCTAGGGAGCACAAGATTTCTTGTCTCCCTGTAGTTCATAGGCTGGAGGTAACTAGGAGTCCAACTAGTATGCCCAAATACTCATTGACTGGAATGCTTTATTGAAATTTAGGACTGTAAAGAGATTACCAGGGAGCAACAGAAGTTTGTTCCTTCGGGAAAGAAGCTTTTTGTGTACAATGTGTCTGCAGAGGACGAGGGGAACTACACATGCACAGCCAAGCTGACGCACCTGGGGAATCCAGGGAATCCATATGAGGTTCTAAAGAGGATCACTGTGAGCATCAGTAAGTATGTACACACCTGTCACTGCCTTCCTGTCCTTTCGGGTGAACTGGCTGGTTTCATGTTGTGGGCAGAAATGACCTGGACCTTGATTTTCCCCAAAATTGGCAAAATCTCAAATTAGTCACTGTTTGATCAGAAGGTAAGAACAAGGAGGCAGGAGGGCTTGAGCAGCTGAATTTTCCCATCTCAGAAAAGAGCACTCAAAACGCTTGGTTTGTTTGTGCTCAGAAAGTGAAGTCATGGGTGTAGGGCTGTCGTTCAGTGTGTGGCAGATGTTACTGTGATCCTGTTGTCCTCAACCTGCACTGTGGTAGGTTTCAATGGCCATCCCAGCGCTGACCTCCCCTGGCTCTGGCTTTAAATGATCCAAGGTGTCTGACGTGGTTCTGGGAGACCCATTTCCCATGAGGCTCTGGTTACCAACCCAGGATGGACAGTTCTCCTGAACGCATGTTCTGCAGATTTCAAAGGCAAATCCTATGGGTAGAAGAAACTAAGGTAGCCAGACCGCTTCATTCTCCAGAGGCCGAGGAGAGAGCAACTCAGGGAAGTTCACAGCGCTTCCTGGTGTGGACACAGGGCGAGAAGTCTCCTGCACCCAGGCAGGCACTTTCCCTTCTAGATAGCTGGGCCAGGGACTTCTCTGTGTCCACAGCCTTTGCTTGCTCTTCAGTAGACAGTTGTTTCTGTACCTGCTCATTCAAGGGACAGAAGTTTGTCAATAATTCCCAGTACTGGGTATCTCACTAGTGCCTGGTGCTGTCACCTGGAGGGGTCCAGACAGCCGTGGCTTCCCAAGAGGCTGGGGTCTCCCAGTCAAGCCATGGTCAATGGTGGATCCTGGCCCCTGTGCCTGGCCACAGATCTGTTTATTGACTGTTTATTGTCACTTCTGCAATGCTCTATTTGCATATGGGCAGCTGGGAGAGTTTTTGGAAGGGTGGAATTTGTAAGGCAGAACGAAGGAGACCATGCGTCCAACAGTCTACATTTTATGCTTGTTCAAACACTTGTTCGTGATCCGTTATCTGGCAAGCATTATTGTTAGGTCATGGTAATGAAAAAACTTAAGAAAAAACAGCAAACAAACAAAACCCATTTGTTTCATCTGTACAGAAACTCCTGGCTTGGTAAGAATGAATCCAGAGGTTTAGAGGGATCATTTTAGCATCATGTGCTAGGACCTGGAGGAACAGAAAAGACTTCAAAGGGGTCATGGGGTGGCCAGTGGGTGATCTGGAAGGCTTCTGAGTGGACACAGTTCTCAGCAGCATTTGGGAGGATGGATAATCTTGACCTCCATGCAAAGACAATGACAAGGGGTCACTGGGCAGAGAGAACGGAGTAAGGCAAAGGTGTGAATGTGTCCAGCTCTGTGGCTTATGTTGGATGTGTTGCAGATCTCAGTAGAGCATGGCAGTTGTGAGATGGGGGAGGGAGGCACGGTGCTGAATAAGGGCTAGTTCAGGGGGCATCACCATGTGGCCCCCCAAAGGTCCCAGGTGGGTGCACCTGTGATAAAAGAAGTGAGCCTTGGGATGGTGTGAAGCAGGAGAGATTAAAGAGGGTATGGATGTGGGAGGCCATGCAGAGGCTGCTCTGATCCCAGGAGAGTCTGGGAGGCTGCACTCTGTGGGAGACCGTGGAGATTTCTTCTTCACTTGGTCCTCTAGGGATCCTTCACTGGGTCCAGGTCCTGTGCTAGGCACGGAGAGGGTACAGGGATAAGGAAAACTGAAGCCTGTGGTCCGAGAGGGTGGCGAGGCAGAGGTGAGTGCCGATCCCCTAGTGAGAGGCGTCCTCACTGGGGGGTGAGCCAGCGTAATGAGGGAAAGGGAAACCTGAGATCAAGCGGACAACCCAGGGACTCCTGGATTTTCCATGTGTGATCTACTGAGCAGAGGTCCGTTGACTAGCTGGTGGTAACTTGTCTTGGGGAGTGCCGAACTGGAATAGTCTGTGGGCTATCCAGATGTTTTGGCCACTACAGACACCACGTGTTTCTGGATGTTTTCCAGCTTCTCTCAACTTTTCCACATCCCACCCCAATTATATGAGGAATACGGGACTGAGCAAGTGTGCCAGATTTTGGTGGCTAAATGGGGTAGGGAAGGAGAGGAAAAGGACTAGGCAATACAAAGAGGCCATGGTAAAGTTGGAGGTGCTGGAGTGAAAGAGCTGAAGAATAAGGAAGAGGGAATAATAGAACAACATGGAAATTCAGGGCTGGAGGAGGGAACTCAAAAGAACAGCAAGTTCAGGTCATCGTCTCTTCCCATCTCGGAACTCTTCCAGAGCTTGGCTTAGAGCCAGAGCTTGGAAGATATATTTATGTTCTCAAGTCATGAAATTTTATTATAGCATCCTGTTGGTTTACATTTAAACCAGATAGATAATGGCTGAAGTGAACTTTCTTGCCAGCTGAGTTTCTAGTTTCTTTCCTTCCCCGCTCCCCCAGCAACTCAGTAATTTCATCTTGAAAGAACATGCACTTATGGAGTGGTGCTTCGCCACATCATGGATCTTCTTTTCTTGACCCGTGTTTATTGAAAGTCTATAATGCTTCACAGGATTGTGTTAAAGTATTTGGGAATGCATCGTATGTGATTCTAACGTAATTTCCTATGGGTGTGATTTCTCAGGAGAGAGTGGTAGACCTGGAGGAAGAATCCCTACGATCACTTATCCCAAGAATAATTCCATTGAAGTACGACTTGGTGAGTAAAGCAAGGAGAGTCATTGGCATCCCCCCGGGCAGGCTTATCACAGCCGCATATTCAAGTGAGTGTTTTGAATTTCAAGGTGAAGACAAATCTCATACAGGTCTGGTTTCCAGCTTTGGACGTACCTGAGTTTAGCAGGAAAGTCACTGAGATAAAAATTAAGAAAACTTGAAACATAGGGGAGACGGAACACTGGGGTTCTGGCCCTGAGCATGATTATGCTGTTTATGGACAGGGAATAAAAACGTAAAACTGATTTCTGAAAAAGACAAAGCATAAAATAAAACTACTGCTAAAAAAGGTCAGGAATTCTGGGTTGTTAGCTCCTACTGGAAAGAATATTAAAGGAGAAGGGGAAATGATCATGTTATATCCTTTATGTAGAAAAAGATCAAAAATATTGTCCCCATTTTGAGATCTAAGTAGAGAAAAAGAAGTTCAAATTAGTTTTTGAAACTTTTTTTATTGTTGTTTTGAGACAGGGTCTCGCTATGCAGTTCGGGCTGGCCTTAAACTCACTTTGTAACCCAGGCTGGTCTCTAACTTGCAACGATCCTCCTGCCTCAGCCTCCCAAGTGCTGGGATTACAGGAGTGGGCCACCACGTCTAGCCCCAGTTTTTAAAACTTAAACAGAGTCACCAGTAAAATAAAACATGTCAAATATCTTCCAAAAAAATCTAAGCAAAGTCTCTGTTAAATATGGCTATTCAGGGGCTGGGGATTTAGCTCAGCAGCACAGAGCCTGCCTGTCAAGCGCAAGGTCATGAGTTTGATTCCCGGTACCGGAGGGAGGGGTGAAATAGCTATTCAGATTGAATCAAATATTAAAATCCAGTTAGGATTTTATAAATCTAGTTACATACTTTTCCCCCCAAAGGCGCATATGTAAAAATCCATTATCTAAAGGATTAAAGAAAATTGTGTGAGGTATTATTTGCAAAAATGATACCAAAAAAGTAAATGACAAATTAGATCACCTTATACTAATGGAAATTACAGTACTGCCCCAAATACAAATTTGTATGTATCAAATATCAGTTCATCAAAATATGTAAAGCTAAGAGTCCCATTTGAAATACCAGAGTAATACAGTAAGACAATAGAGTTGGCTCAGTTGTGTTGGAAAGTATTAGTATGGTATGGTATTAACAGATTTAACAAGTAAATAAGAATCTAAAACATTTGATTAATGTAGTAAGAATAACGTGTTTAGTAGATGACTCATAAACATCTGTGAAAATGACAGCAGTAAAAGAGGAAGTTGTACAAACCACATGGTACAACCACAATGTTGTAAATGTACAAATGTAGAACTCAAGTCAAAACAATGAAAAAAAATCTCGTTCAGCATGTGAGGTGCTGGTTTATTATTATGCTTGACTTCATTGTAACCACAATGTAAACTTATACCAAAAAAGCACATTATACCTTATAAATATATAGTTAATGTCAGTTAAAATTTTTAAAAATTAAAAACTTAAACAACCACTAATTTGTCTTCTAATCATTTATCTTCCTTGGTTTGAAATAAAACTGAAGCCATAGTAGAGACTATTTAGAAATAATGACAGAAGCTGGGTGTGGTGGTGCACAGTTACAATCCCAGCACTCAGGAGGCCGAGGCAGGAGGATTGCCGCAAGTTTGAAGCCAGCCTGGGCTACATAGTGAGTTCAAGGTCAGCCTAAACTACACAACAAAGCCTTGTCTCAAAGCAAAACAAAACAAAATAAAACAAAAAAAGAAAAGAAATAATGACAATAACAATACTTCAAGTTCAACTTCATGGCATGTGACCAATACACTAGGCAAGTTTCTATCTTTAAATACGACTACAAGTAAGTGTAGAAATAATTAAAATGTATGATAACCATTTAACTCTCTCTCTAAGAAAGAAACTAGACAACAAAAAGTAGAAAATAATGAATTTAGAGGAAAAAACCCAGTAGAACGATGAGTCGTGTAAACTGGTATAGGGGTAGAAGAGTTGAGGAATGAAGGTGAGGGGGGAAAGATAAACTTCTAGCAACTTAATCTCCCGCAGGCAGAGAAACTCAAATATAAGGCTCAGAAACCCGAAAACTTGTAAAACAACAAATGCTATGGAGCTGAAATCTGTTTAACAAGCCCCTGTGGCTATGTTTGTAGAAGTCCTTTAAGCTTTCAAGGAACAGAATGCCCATAACGTAGATATTAGGTGCATAACACTCACCTTGTCGATGCTTTTATAGGTTTCAAAGATGCACAGAAAGACGTTTGCCTGTTACATTTCTCAGTTGACTTTGTTCCCCACACCGCCTCTCCTGGCTGACAATTTATCCGGTGTATTTAGACAATTAAAAACTAGGATTCTTTTTCTTTTCAGCCTGAGGGCTGAACCCACAGCTTTCATGCTGAGCTGTATACTCAGCCTTTTTTATTATTTGCTTGGAGACCGAGTCTTGCTAAATAGTACAGGTGAGACTTGAACTTGTGATCCTCCTGCCTCAGCTCCCAAGGTGCTGGGATTACCGGCATGTGCCACCATGCCAGAGTAAAAAAGCAGGAGTCTTTAAGCAGGAAGATAAACATATATTTTTAAATGATCTATGGGCAGGTATGTAGAAATTTTAAGAAAAATATCTAAAATGCTGTAATCACTAGCAGTTGTTTAGTAAGGCTTATTTTAGTACAAAATCAACTTTCGAAGTCAATAATATCTTTACATGTGTGAAATAGCAGGATAGTAACTTGATATGCACATGCTGTCCAGGGCCTTGTTAATTATGTCACTAGACTGCATAAAGCCGGTTTTCACTTGAGATGCAGCTCATAAGCAATTACTTATTGGCAGATGCCTGCCCTAACAGTCACATCAGCCACACCATTTCCAAACTGAATGTCCCTCTTCAGCGCTACGTGGAAAGTGTCGTCTTGGAGCAATCAGCATCACTGGGGTTTGCTGAAAACGCATATTGATATATTTATTCCATGTAATTGCTAAATTGAAATTAGACTTTTTTCTAGATAACTTTTAAATTCAGCCTTATAGTCATAAAAGTGTTAATCACCAGAATGGTGTAGTTTCTAAACATAAAACCAGACAATTAAGAGCCAGGCAATTAAAACCAGGGGAAGAAATCACAAGTGAAAAAATCCGGGCTGAGGATATAGCTCAGGGGCATAGTGCCTGCCTGGCAAGCATGAGGTCCTGAGTTCAATTCCTGGTACAAAAAAAAAAAAAAAGAAGAAAAGATTAAAAAATTAGAATAGGCTTTAAAAAGGCAAATACCTAAATATATATAAAAATAGTAGAGTTGAAATATAAAGGCCAAGCTAAGGGAAAATGTCTGGAGTAGAGAGGACATAACATGGGTGAGATTACTTGTATACAACACAAAATCAAGGAGTTGAGAAAATGCTAATCTAAATGGGGCAAACAATTTACACAAGAAGAAAAGCAGCAAAACATGATAAAATTCATCTGCAGTAAAAGAAATGTACATTCAAATGTTATTTATCTGTGGAATTGGTAAGGATTAGACATACATTGCCATTTATTAGACAGGGTACGTGAAAGGTGCTCTAGTACGTCACTGGCTGTGGGTGAGCAACTCCACACCGTGTGTGCTTCCAGCTCTCCTGCAGTTCCGTCCCACCCGGCAGGAAATCCAAGGCCTCCTGCGCTCTCTGTGCCCAGCGGCTCTCTGTCCTCTTTGTGATCCCCGTCCAGTTTGAATTCGGGAACTTTGAAAACCTCTTACCTTCCAACTCAGTACATTCTAGATGGCAAACTGTAGGCGACAACACAGCCCCAGAGGGCTGCAGAGAGAAATATTAGATGAACAGTTTTAAAACAAATTGTCTTTAGCGTGTTTAAGGAGAAGAGAGACAGGATTGAAACTTTCAAAAGAGAACTAGAAACTAGAAATAACAGCATGCCAGATTAAGATGTCCAGACTGAGCAATGCAATAGGCTTTAACTCGTATAAAATATATTTGAAAAGAGAATTAATGAGCTAAAATATAGGTCAGGAGAAAATATGGAGGCTAAGCATCCCGTGACAAAAGAACAGGAAGTATAGATGTGAGAGTGCGGGAGGAGGAGGCACAGATCTCTCTCCCTCTCTCTCTGTCTCTCTCTCTCTCTCACCACACACACACACACACACACACACACACACACACACACACAGAGCGTCGAGAGAAGGCAGAGGCAGAAGCAATACTATGTATTTTCGGATAATGCCGATAACATCCCGCCCTGCTAGGAGACCCTGACCCAAAGATGCCAGATGCAAAGAATGCCAAGCAGGATCAAGGAAAGTAAAACTACACCTAGACATTCCTTGGTGAAACTGCAAGAAGTGGAAACCAAGGGAAAAAGTATTCAGAGTAAGAAAAAAGGCAGAAAAGTGCCTCCTCTGGGCAATAATAAAAAATAAGACTCTGGCTGACCCTGTACCAGAAACAGTGGAGGCCCCCTGCTTTAAGAAATCCAAACCTACTAATTTAATAACCAGTGAAAATATAACAGATCAAAAATGGCATGTGTTGTCCATTAGGCCCACAATAAAAAAAATACTGGAGTGTTCTGCAGGCAGAGGGAACATTCTCCTACATGTTAAATCAAAATGCATAAAGCAATGGTACTTATGCAGGAAATTTAAAACAACTATGAAATGAAAATACACAACGGCGCTTGCCCTCTGCTGGGGTGAGGGAAACGAAAGTGAGTCCTAGGAACTTACGCAGTGTCAGAGACGAGGGTAAAAGGAGCAATAACATTAGGCTTTGATAAATCCAAGGATATGTTTCATTGTGTAGAGTTACAGTAAAAGAATAACACTTTAGCAAAAATATAGTTAAATGTAATACTAAGTCAGAAATAGAGGCAGAAGGAATTGAAACAGGAATCCAAAACAGGTAAGAAAGAAACCCCAAATATAGAATAAATGCATTGCATAGAACATACCTAATATGGCTGACTTAAAACAACATTTGTCATTAATTAGTAAATGGGAAAAATGCTCCAAATAAAATTGGCCCGGCTGGATTAAAAAATAAAACACCCATGTACTAATTGCAAGAAGCTCAAAGATAAAAGAATAGAAAATGATATACAACATAAAGACTAACTAAAGTAATGCTGGTATATCTATATTAATTACATTAATCAAGATACACCTGAAGGCAAAAAGCATTATGAGGGAGAAATACCACGTACTGGTGAAAGTTCAGTTTTGAACCTGTAAGCATATGTGCCCTTAAACACACACACACACACACACACACACACACACACACACACACAGAGGAAAAGTGGTTGATAGTTCAATATGGAGTGTGACATTTCTGTAGGGTTTTTGAAATAGATTTTTTTTATCAGATCAAGAAAGTTTCATTCCCTAGTTTTCAAATAGCTTTCTGGTTTTATGAATTTTATAATAGTCATGACACTTTTAAAGCAGAACTAGATAATAAGATGTGTGTTACTAGATTTCAAGAAGTATTAGAGAGGTATAATAATTTAAATATAAAGTAGGAAGAGGATATGGGCATTACTTGGGGTTCTGTGATGCACTGTTTTCTTGATGGGAAAGGTGGCACAACTGATTTCTCATAATTTGTTAACTTTACACTCACATTCTATACGTTTTTGTATATATGTTATATTCATAATACAGTAAATATTCAAATAAAGAACATGTCTTGGAACTTGATCTGTTTGGCTCATAGGGCAAACTTAAGTGAATTCACAATCTTATTACAAATGATTTGTGCTAGCCATGATGGCTCATGTCTGTAATCCCAGCACTCGGAAGGCTGAGGCAGGAGGATTGCCATGAGTTTAAGGCCACCCTGGGCTACAAAGTGAGTTCAAGGCCAGTCTGAGCTACCCAGTGAGACCCTGTCTCAAAAAACAGATGTGATTCACGAGTGTGTGGAGATTGAATACGGAGAAGAGGAGAAAGGGTACGGGGGTCACATTTCCAAGGGAGGAGTGTTACTGGATTTGGAACTAGAAAATGAGTTTGTATGTCATTTCTTCCTCCAATTCATATGTGACGGTGGGCAAGCCACTCGGGGGGCCTGAAGTTCAACTTTCCCATGCATCATGGGGACAGATAATAACATTTCCTCTTCTTCTGCCTTGTCGGGTTATTCCAAAGATACAAAGACTGAGGGTGAGAACACACATTAACGCTTGTAAACTGTGGAGCTCTTTGCTAACGTCACTAGGAGGGGAAGTAGTGTTGTGTCCCGATGAGTGCAGAAAATCTTCATCAGAGCTGTCGGTGAGTGTCAGCCTATGCCTGTCTCTGATGGGTTCCCCGGAAGGTCCCTCCTCCCTGCTGGTGTCTGTGCAGAGAACGTGGAGCAGATTGTCACTGACCCTAGAACATTTCTCATCAGCAAAGGGTATTCCAGCTGAAAAGCAAGATGCATTTGGCATGAGGTGCTGGCCAATCTGAATGACAGAAAGCTTGCACAACTGCGGCTTAACGTTTATGAATGTGATCTCCACAGGCTCCACCCTCATTGTGGACTGTAACATAACAGACATCAAGGAGAACACGAACCTCCGCTGCTGGAAGGTCAACAACACCATGGTGAACGATTACTACAGTGACTCTGGGCGCATCCAGGAGGGAATCGAGTAGGTGCCGCCTCCTGTGGCTTCTCCAAAGCTACCCGGGCTTTTCCATCCACATCTGTGTACAGAAGGTAGACAGTTCAGGGTGCCCACCACCTGCTCACTGTTGGCTTTGTTGTCCTAAGATCTTGGTGCACCAATCACGGTCGAGCATTGGGTTCCGAGAACTGTGGGATGCTTATGTCATCAGTAGCCCCAGCTTAATCAGGCACATGTGACAAACCAGAAGTGAGCCATACTATGACAGTATTTTTCCTGCTCATTCAGTCTTATCCTGACCACGACCTTCAAGGCTGAAGTACTGAAACCAGCACCACCACAGAGGCTCTTGGGACAGGGTGGGGTATAAACTCAACTGGTGGGGTGTAACTCTGGTGGTGTAAAAGAGGAAGGCCGAGGGCAGAACTTGTGCGGGCCGTGGGGTGCAGCGAGGCAAGGTGCTTGTGGAGGAACGGGTCCTGGAGGCTGGGCACAGGCTCTGGGGCCCATAAGCACACTTCTTCATCTCTGTCCAGGAGCACAGACAGACTTGTCCCTACAGGGTCTACACTCCACTTGGGGCCACTCAGTGACTTATGTCAGGGTCAGAGCACCCTCCAAGGTATTCTTCAGAGAAACAGAAGCACTATGTTCAGAATAAAGACTATAAATGATGCGGGGCAAATATGACTCATGTTAATGCACCACTCTTTTCTTTTTATAGAACCAATGTTTCTGCTGAAGGACACATCTCTTACACGGTCAACATCACCTTCTTAGAAGTGAAGATGGAGGACTATGGCCTTCCTTTCACTTGCCATGCTGGAGTGTCTGCTGCCTACATCATGCTAAGGCTCCCAGGTAATGTCCAGTGGGCTCTTGGTGGCCAGAGCACTCTCAGTGATGACTAGGAACTGGATGTGAAAGACAAGTGACATCAGGTGTCTTAGTTACTTTTCCCTTATTGCTGAGACAAAACCCTGATGCCCAAAGTTGAGGGAGGAGAGTTTCATTTAGCTCACAGTTTGTGAGGGCTCAGCAAGGTGGGGTGGCACATGGCGGAGGGGCAGCCATTCATGGAGGCAGAAAGGAGCAAAAGCAACAAGTGAGGTTGAGACAAGCCCCTTTCTGTCCCTTATACTGCATCCAGTCTAGTGAGATTGGGGCAGTGCCAATCCAATTAGCGAACTCACCCACCCTTAATCCCAGAGCCCTTAATCTCAGCATTGCACTATGGATCAATCACACACTAGATTTAACCACCTCTGAAAAAAACCCTATGACCGCTTGAGGCTTTGAGGGGACGTCTAGACACAAACCATAACATTCAGGTGCTTGGTGTGAGGCAATGCCCCGGGTGGCATTGGGACAGAACCAAGAGGTACCGTCCCGGGAAAGGCTGATTATCTCCTTGGAGTGAGGTTTTGAAAACAGCGCACTCGTATACATTAAGATTTCTGTGCATCAGAATTCTAGAAAACCAAGTTTTCCTTTGCTAAACCAGATTGTTCAACTTTTATAACCAACTTTTTAAATGATTTTTAGCTATATAGATGATTATGAATCATTTGATGTGTAATAAAAATGTTTATGTGTGTTTTTACGATATACCTTAGAAAAATTATCTATGGCTGGGATATGGAGGGGCTACTAACGGGGAGCAGGAGGACTGCAGACACCAAGTGAGCACACGGCCTGCCCTCTGCTCCGAACCTCCGATTATCCATTGGGGGTCATTAAGCTAGCGAGTGGAGAGTGGCGGGGGAAGCACACCCTTGAGAACAACTTTGCATTCCTAACCTCCGGGGGCAGGGTATGAAGTGCCTTGTGAGATGCTGTGTGGCTTAGCGAGGCAACTTATTTCTTGACTGTGTTAACTTCCTATGCAGTGCGGTGTGATTTACACGCACTAGGGAGCCCTCAGGTGGCCAGCGCCCCCTAAAGGTCAGTTGCCCCTTATTTACGTACTTCCAGCTCAAGTCCTGCGAAGAATGGAATATTTTTTTCTAGACCCCCACGTAAAGCAGCGGTTCCGCACGGAGCCCACAGAGGCTGCAGCTGGCCTGTGCTTCTTCCAAGCTCTTGGCCTGCAGGCATCGGCTCCTCGGAGCAGCAGGGTTGCGTCCACCACAGCTTGCAGCTCTCGCTGTGCCTGCTCTCTGCCTCTCTCTGGTGACCTGGAGGTCAGGGTCGCTCTGTCCCACCTGTGAGTGAGCTCACAACCACTACTCACTGGGGCCTTAGGCAGCCTGGCAGGGCAGGCCTTGAGCTCATCCTACTCTCAGGGGTCCTCGGGGGCTCCTCAGGTTGCATCTGCTCTGCATCCTCATCTCTGGCGCCTCCCTTTCCCTGTTTACCGTCCTCCGTGGAGTGCAAACCAGTTCCAAATCTGCCTGTGTCCCGCTGGCTCACAGAAGCTCTTCCAGCGAGTGCAGAGCCGTGCCGGAAGCGGGGCAGCGTGTTTGTCCTCTTGAACCTCTTGATTCTCTTGCTGTTAGTCTTAGCTTTGCAAATGGTGCCTGAGCTCATGGCTTCCAGGTTACTCAGGCCCCAAGGCTGGGGTCACCTTGACCCCTTCCTCCCCTTCTCTCACGCCAGTGCCTGCTAGCTGTAGCTCATCCCAGAGGCCCTTCCCACACGGTGCCCGCTGGCTGTGGCTGCGCCCTCCCGCCCAGAGGTGCCAGCTGTGAGACAGACAGCACCGTGGCCCCTGCCTGGGACTCTGAGCTCGTGACTTCCAGCCTCCCGTCCTAGACGGCTGTGCGTGGGCTGTGTGTCACCGCCCTGTCACTCACCTTCCCTGTGATCCAGTTTCTTTACCTTTGTAATGAGGGAGATAACGCCTTCCATGGAGGGCTACTGAGAATGAGCTGGATGTTTAAAACTTTTTATCGTGAAATAAAACATGCATATAGGAAAGAGTACAGATCACCTGGCAGATAATTATACAACAGATGCACGTGAAGTTCTGCTTGGATTAAGACAAACATAGAAACAAACCCAAAAACCACCCCCTGGGCATTGGAAGAGCTGAAGTCTCCCTGTGCTCTTCTGGATCAAAGCATGGCTTTCCCGTTGGGTACCATGGTGCCTCAGTTCAAGAACATACTTCTTTCCTTGATTCTTGTCACAAACTGAATTGGTTGTGAGCCACATGAAATGCAATGGAGGGGCTGGGGATTTAGCTCAGCGGCGCAGCACCTGCCTGGCAAGCACAAGGTTGTGAGTTCAATTCCCGGTACCGGAAACCACCCCCCCACCAAAAAAAAAGAAGCAACGGATAGTTTCAATGCTGACCTTATGGGGAAATCTCATTCAGTTCTCATCTGATTCGGTTTATGGCGAGAATCATGGAAAGAATTAAGTTGGTGAAGCGAGGCACCTGTGTAGCCACTCCTCCAACTTGTGGGAAAGTCATTTTCTTGTGGGAAAGTCTCCCTTTCTTATCCGGTTGCTATTCCTGAAAATGTAGCATAGCTTTGCCTGTGTCTGAGTTCTGCACTAAGAGATTTACATAGTGCAGCTCCTGGCAGGGCTGGATTCTCTGCCGAGGCGCCGGTTGGCTGGTGCACGGACAAGGGCACTAGCAGCTTAGCCATTCGCTCTCCTCACTGCATCATAGGTCGCCGTCTGTCCTTGCTGCTGGAAGCACACGGTCACTGACACTGTTTCCCATGTTGCACAGTAACAAGCAAGGCCGCTCTGCAGATTGCTGTGTGCCTGCTTGGTGCCCTGTAGGAGCCTTCCTGTCTGCACTGGGAGTCAGGTTTCCAGGCGACGATCTGTCATCGGTTTTTCTATTTAATGCCATATCATGCCCAGGGGTGACTGTACTTGTTGTCACTACCCCCGTGCAGGGCCTGGGAGAATGAGGTGAGATGATTTGGCAGACAAGCACAAAGCCTGACATGTGGTGAGTTCTAAAAACTTGTGTTTCTTAGTCCTGCTCTGGTTCTGGCCACTATTGTGGGTATCGGATGGTTGGACTCGTTTTCTGAATGGTTTCCTTGCCTTTGGAACATTGTCTCATCCAGTACCTTCCAGCGGTGTTATGGTCTCTTCTTCAGGGAGGCTGTAGCTCTGCAGTACCCTGCTCTCTCCTTTCCCCTGGGACACCAGCACTCCCGGCTGGCATTCAAGGCTGCCCCCTCCACCTTATCCCAGCCACTCCCTGGCCAGTCAGAGTGGGGAAAAATGGCTCTGCCACAGGCTCTGTGCTTTGATGGAGGTGGTGATTTTGTGAGTAGTGAGGGGAGAATTGGTTTTCAGTCAGGGAGCAGAGCAGACCCAGAGGACCCCTCCGTCTCCATGTTACCCAGTAGCCTCCAGCAGGAACAGAGTAGCTCAAGCCAGAGAGAGGCACATGGGGTCCGCCCCGGGAAGAGGGAGACACTGAGGGTGGGGTGCCTTGGATACTGCAGAGACCTGAGGTGTCACAGATTATATCCGTCTCACCCTGGAAGCGTGCATGCTTTATTTAACCCAGCCTGATGCTGGTCAGTAGCTTTTAATGCCAACGAGTACTGTGTTCAGAAGAGTTCTGAGCCCCGCCCAGGCTTAGAGGAACTGAGCTGTTCCGCTCTCACCTGTCAGTCACGCGATAGGAGGAGCGAGGTGCCCTGGCATTGTTGTAAGCCCTGCTGGAAGCCTGGCTCACAGAGTGTCTCCATTCCCACAGCTCTCGCTTCACTGTCACAGGCAGTGCGTTTCGCTTGCCTGAGTTCTTAGGAACCTCACCCTCTACAGTCCAGGCTTCCTGTGGGTTTGCTCTGGGCAAAGTGAAGGTGACAGCTTCTCCATTTGACTTCCTGTTTTGGGTGAGGGTGCCTTCAGCTCTGAGTGGATGTTCCTTGGTTTGTCTGAAGCAGGCTCGCTTTGCTCAGGTCAGCTGTCCCCTTCTGTGAATTTCTTCTCATCGTCAGTCTGTCCTTACCCGCCGTCCTGACACAGGTGGCCACATGGGCTCCAGTGGGGGATACTGTTTCTAACAAAATATCTGCTGCATCACCAATAAGTTTCCCACTTGTGTATGTTTCAAAACCCCTGCTGCCTTTGATCCTGCTCACGAATCTCCTGCTCTGTGTTATCATCTTCGAGTTCGCTTACAGAGCTCAGGCTGGTATCAGCACTCCTGCCTGAAACGTAAGATGAACTCAAGGATTTCTTTCCTTGCCGGGGGCTCTGGGTATGGATATGAACCTCGTGTCTTCCTTTCAGGGCCATTTGCAGCATCCAGACCTGCAAAGTGTATCTTCACCCTCCCTGGAGCTGGGTCCTCCCAGAGGGAGTGGCGGTACCATTGCTGCAGGAGGCGTGGAAAGAGCTAGCAGAGAGGAGGGAGGGGAGTGGGGAGAACCCAGGGGGACCCCGGGGACGCAAGGCTGCCTGGCCAGCAGCGTGAGGAGCAGTTCCACTTGGCTGTCCCGGGACTGAATCTGTGGGTCCGTGTGGTGGTGGTGGGGCACGCGCATGATTTGGCTACTCCTCTTTATCATGCCCTGGACGTGAAGGTGCACAGTAGTCAGCAGGAGATCCTGGGCCGCAGGTGTTGGCACCACAGTGTGGCCTGGGGCACAGTGTGAAGCGCACCTTAGATGAAGGAAAGGAAGTGTGGTGTGTGTACACATGAGCCCTGTTCAGCCATGAGGGAGAGTGGGATCTTGGCATCTGCTGTGGCTTGTGTCTGCATGTCCCCCCAAAGCCTCAAGCAGTCATGGGGAAGGCTTCTACAGTTTGTGATTGATCCATGGTCCAATGCTGGGATTATAGGGGTGAGAGCTACACCCACCCTGGGGCAGGCAGCCTGCATACCATGTAAGGGAGGGAAAGAGGCTTGCTCTTTCTGCTCCTCCTTTTTGCTCTTGTTGCTTTTGCGGTCTTTCACCACCATGAACTGTTGCCCTCTGCCATGTGCTCTTCTGCCTTGGAGCCAGTCGAGTATGGACTGAAACCTCCGAAAACTGTGAGCTAAATAAACCCTTTCTTCCCTAATTTGGGGTGTTGGGTATTTTGTCTCAGCAATGAATAACCAAGACAGCATCTGAAGAAATGGTTGGATCTGAGACCACTCTTTTGAGTGGGACAAGTCAGACTCCAAAAGACAAACACTGCATGTTCTCCTTCACAGGTAGAATCTAAAAAAGATGACAAGAAAGTAGACAGGGGACCACTGTAGTATTACACAGAGGAAGGGGAGCGGGGAGTGGTGTGAGGCCTGGGAATACGGGCATCAATATAATAGGATACATTGCGCCATGGAGCCCCACCCCCAGGAAGTGAAGCTAGGATGGTGGGTGGGGCATGGGGGTGATGGGAAGAAATGACTGAAATATGTTACGTTCATGTACAAATCCACCAAAATACAACCCATCAATCTTTACTTGCAATGTGCACTAATAAGATGGTGGGAAGAAAGTGCTCTGGGGGTTCAGAGAAGGACTCCCCTCTTCTTGTGCTCCTCCCCTACACACCCTGGAGTGAGTGGGAGGACCAGGAGGGCCCCTGAAGGAAGTCGGTTATGAGATGGGTTCTAGGAACAGGGAGGATTCCTCTTCCTCCCTCCCAGTTCCCCTTTTCTGGCTCTCGATTCCCTCCTTCCTGGGGAATCCTTGGTTGTATTTTTCTTCCTTTGTCCCAGTTCCTTTTTGCACCCCCAGGTGCCCAGGCCTGTGATGTGGGAGCTTGTGCTTCAGTGACTGGGTGGGATGTCCTTTCAGAGCCTGTGTGTCCCCAGTGCTCAAGGAGGATGGGCACAGTGGGGAGTACCTGCAGAGAGGCTTCCAGGGAGGAGGTGCAAAGGGTCCTTCCTGTAGGACAGAAGTGCATGGCAAAGCAGTATGGCAGGATGGTCATCCCTGCCATGCTGCAGGACCACTGAGGACATCCCCAACAGATGTGCCAAGGCTTGGCCTCTGGGGATGTCACACTGGCCAGGGAGGTATGCTCTGGGGTGTCAGAGCAGGCATCGCACACTCGGAGTCACCCTGTATCTGCTGCCTGCAACCAGGGTTCTGAGGATCTCCTCTGCCAGACTCCCTGGAGCTCTTTTGTTCCCTAAAATTTACAAGCCAGGTCAGATCGGATGATCCCATTCCACACTTGTTATTTAGCATTAAAGGAGCATTTCTGCAGTGCCCTCACTAATATGGCACATCTTTCCACATGACATGTGTCTGTGACCCGGAGGATGTGATTGCATTGTTCTGCTATTTTGCTGTCACTTGTAGCTCCAGACTTGCGGGCGTACTTGATAGGAGGATTTGTCGCTTTAACTGTCGTGGTCACTTCAGTTCTTGGCGTCTACAGCACCTTTAAGGTGGACATCGTGCTTTGGTATCGAAGTGCTTTCCATTCCACTGAGAGCAGAGAAGGTGAGTATGTGTCTTCACTCAAAAATATCTCTAAATCAGTTGCCACTCTCTGGATAACCATTAGAAGTGTACTTTTGTCATATTTACAAGTGTGGATTTCATGATGTTGGCAGAGTTAGAGGGCAGAACCTCCTGAGACCCACCTAAGCCTCAGAGAAATGATTGTCCATGATCACCAGCTTCATGGTCACAGGAGTCTTGCAGACTTCTAGTGCCCAGGAAGGACTCATGAAGTGGCAGAAGCAGTTCATCTCCTTTCTCACTGCGAGTGGGGGAGATGGGTCTCACTGCATCAGTTTTAGAGAGGGGAGTGTCTGCAGAGGAAAGTGTTGTAGCCAGGCTGCCGAGCTACAGCTCTGTCTAGGACCTGCCCTTGGGCCTGGAGGGAGTCACATCTTTAGCTCTCAAGGCTGGACAGAGATAGACCTGAGTTTGAACTTGAATTTTACACTTACTCTCTGTGTGAAATTAGAAAGATAATTTTTTTTTCTCTTTCTCAATGGAAGGAAGGAAAGAAGGAATAAAATGTCATATTTGTTTTCTTGTTGCTTGTACACAGTACCCAGCACCCCTAAATTAAAGAAAGAGAGATCTATTTGGCTCACAGTTTGTAGAAGTTTTAGTTCATAGTCAGTTGGCTTCAAGGCAAGGTGGCATGGCAGAGGGGTATTGCAAGAGGAGAAACGGTCCATGGCAGGGCAGGCAGGAAGCAGAAAGAGATCAAGTGAAGAGCAGGGAAATAAACCCTTCCAGGCCATACCTCCTTTGACCATGTAGGCTTCACCTCTCAACATCATATTCAGCTATAAACTCATCTGTGGACTAATCTACCCATCAGTATCATGTCCCTATGATCCAATCACTTCCCAAAGCCCCACCCTTGAGCCCATGAAGCATTAGGGGGATACCTAGATATAGATCATAACCAAAGAGAGGAAGGAAAGAAAGAAGGAAGGAAGAAAAGGAAGAGGAGGAAGGAGAAAGGAAGGAAATAAAGAAAGAAAAAGAAAAGAAGGGAAGAAGGATAAATAGGTGGAAAGAGGAAAGAGGGAGGACAGGAAAGGAAAGGAGAGGAGAGGAGAGAGGAGAAGAGAGGACAGGAGAAGACAGGAGAGAGAGGAGAAGAGAGGAGAGGAGAGGAGAGGAGGGGAGAGGAGAGATCACATCCTGCCTGGGACAGTGCTGAGGGCCCAGGGATACACCCAGCAGAGCCCTGGACGCAGGTGGCTCCCTGCTCACCTGCAGTCCAGCAAGTTGCCCTGTGCACTTCTTTGGGTCTTCATTCATAGCGCTTGTGTCCTGCCAGGGCTCTTTGACACACAGATGCCTCCATGTGACCTGAACCTGGGTGGGGCAGGCATTTCTCGCTGTCATTCTTGTGGGTCTATGCAGTTTAGGTCTCAGAACAGTATGGTCTATTAAGGCCTAGGAAGAAAGAAGTAATCTGCTTTACTGTCTCCTAATTGCATGGAAAAATTCCTATGAGGCAGAAAGAAGGGTGCCTGGAGGTGAGCAAATCGGTGCCCTGCCAGGGTAGAGACACATGAGGCTGGCATGAGCAGGGGCTGGTTCCGGCCAAGTGTGGGCTAGGCGGGTGACACAGGGAGGGCATCTAATTGCCTGCTTGGCATAGAAAAGTCATGGCCCAAGTTCCTGTCTATGCTTGACTAACACAGCATCCTAGCTTGGACTCTATTCTAACTTAAATGTCTCAATTCAAAACTGGCAACCCTGAGACTGGGGTGGAGCTCCGTGGTAGAGTGTGTGCAGCATGTGGGAGACCCTCGGCTCCATCCCCAGCAACGAGAAACAAAGCTACGACAGCCACAAACCCTGGGGGCCTTGGAGCTGTGTAGAAAGTGACAAACTCCTCTAGGTGCAAGGGTGTTATGGAAACCTGGCCTCACACGTCTGACACCACACAAAGTGGTCATACTGGGGGCTGAGTCTCTGCTCTCTGTTGTGGTCTGTGCAGAGATTGCCCTGTCTCAGGCTCCAGACTGTCCTCTGACCCTGGCTGCATCTGTGTGAGAAGAGGATCTCAAATACTACGTACTTTTTCTGCCCTGGATTTGAGTGGTTTGGCTGCTTTTAGTGTTGCTGACCTACAGGGACTGTGTGGCTTTACGTGGTCTTTCCTGGAGCTCTGGCCCCTCTGTTCCCCCGTGTGTGACCTCTGTGACTCACTGTGATCCCTAGGAGTGTGACCTTGGCCGCCGTGCTGTGCCAAGCATGGGGCCAGGCTGCTGTCAGTGAGGCTGAGAGCAGTAGGGGAAGGAAAAAGAGCTCTGACTCCTCTGGGAGAGCAGAGAGAGCCCAGGCCTGGGGACCTGCCCTCCGCTGGGACCCGGTGCAGCCCAGGCTCTGTCTGACAGTCAGCAGCTGCAGCTGGAAGAGATTTGCCGGGTTTTCTGGGCACGCAGAGTAAAGGGTGGAAATGCAAAGGAGGAAGAGAGAGAAATTGTGTCTATGTTGAGATAAGTCCTTTATTTCCAGATACGTGGGTCGAGCTTTGTAACACTATTAATATCGGGAGATCTAGCCCCAGGCTCTAGTATGAGGGTCACACACCACTGCAGCGGAAGTCGGGGACTCTGCGTATTCTCTGTCAAGCCTCGGTACCTGCAGGGTTCTCGTGGCTGCTGGGCAAGCTCCGGACAGAAGCAGATCTGCTGGAGAGCCTGGCATGGGACGGAGTGGTGAAGTACGACCAGAACACCATGACTAAAAGCAAAACGAATCAGGCATAACAAGCAAAGGAAAATCAAGTTTAGAACGGTCAAACAAGGTGGGGATAGAGTGAATGACATCTCTTTATTTTAAAAGGTGAGTTTGCTTTCAAAGCTAAAGCAAAGCCAATTGGGAGATTCATTATGTGTGATTCACAGACACCTTTCAAATGCACTAGAGAGAAGGTGACTTTACCCACCCCGGACTCCTTTCCACAGGACAGTGGCTGTGGAGTCTTCCTCTGAAAGGGTGTGAGGGGAGGAGCCTTGTTGTCCACATTCCCAACGTAGTGGTGTTGCATGCTTTAGGTGGCTCTCCTTCTGGAACCTTCCATGCATGTTTCGGCAAACCCAGGGAAGACACTTACAGAAAGGTCAGATTAAATCTGTCTGATTTTTCCACTGCTCTGGGTAGATGAGCTAACATCATTTTGAGAGAAAGTAGAATAACCTTGAGGCAGTCATTCACACACATTAATTTATTCAAATGAACTCTTGTACTTTTGGCCAGCAACCAGTCAAGGCACAGGCAGATGCTTTGCCATCCAGGCAGAGTGGAATCTCCTCAGAAAATGAAAGGACCTGGTGGACATGTGGAGAAATGGAGAGGTGGGCTGTGTGTGAGCGGCCCACACACCTCCCTTTCTCAGAACACTCACTCGTAGGTCTACATTTCTGGAGCTTTCTTGATGAACTCAACAGCTGGAAGGCATCCAGCATTTGCCATTTGTACGGTTATCTCTTCAGCTGCTGTTCTAGTACCCATGGCTGGGAAGCAGATTACCTCAGAGCTAATGGCGTGAAATGACCATTCATTTGGCTTGTGGGTTCTGTGGTCGGGAATGAGGACAGGTACAGTGGGTTCATTTCAGCTCTGGGTGTCTGGGGCCTCAGCTGACGACCGGAAGTTGACCTTGGCAGTTGGGTGATGGCCTCAGCCTCTCTCCACAGGCCTCTCCCAGCAACGTCCCCTGCTGCATGGTGGCCTCTCCCTGAGGCGGGTGTGGCAGGCGCAAGGCAGGCCTGGTGAAGGTATGTTTTCCGGTGTAACCTGAATTTCTAGTGTCAGGTCTGCCACACCCCACTTGTCAAGGCAGCTATGGAGGCTGACCCAGTTTTATTTTCACATTTTTTTTTTTTGAGGCTGACTAGTTTTAAAGGAGTGGAAATGGATTCTAGTTTTTGTGGCAAAGTTCTGAAGGAAGCTGTAGGACCGGAAGTGTTCCTCAGGCTTGCCTGGCCCGGGGTGGGAGGCACCGGGCAGACTAGGGGCGGGCTTTGTGAATTTCCTGCTTTGGAGTCTGGTTTTGTCCGCTTGAGGAGAACGGCAGGCATGAATTTCCATCAGTGCCGTGCACTTCAGAGAAATCACAGAGCCTTGATGGTCTCAGCTTCCTTGCTCAAAATCCAAGGGTTCTACCACGTCCCTCATGGTCAACTGTGAGGAGAAAGCCAGGAATGCGGGGGGGGCTGCAGGCTGCGTGGGCCCTTCAGAAGCAGAGGGCTGAAGTAAAAATCTCAGGGCAGCAGCATGGTGTCTGAAAACCTAGTCTCTGGATTACAGGTTACAAATCAGCCATCTGAAAGTGACGAAGAGAGTAAGCAAGTTGTATCTTGATTCAAAGCTGAGTCAGGGCTGGGCATGCAGCCCAGGGGAACAGGGGAGCTCTTGCCTTTCTTGTGAGGGGCCCTGGGCTCAGTCCCAGTACTGCAGAGCAAGAAACAAACCCTGGAAAAAAGAAAACCAGAACATTAGGGCATTTGTATATTTTAGGTTTTAAAAGGAGTGAGAATTTTTTCTGCCCAAAACTCCTCTCTATTTGGACAGCAAGGAGAACTGCTGTCCTCATTCCTTACTTAGAAACAGCAGACCTGGAGTAACATCCAAGGAGAATGTGTTTAGCACAAGTAGTGTGTTTGCTTTTTAATCAGAGCCAGCGGGGACAGAGGGAGAGAAGAAGGTGCCCTTTGCATGCCTGGGACAGGGGCCGTAAGCCCGGGTGCTGGCTGTAACATGAAATCCTTCTCTTTCTTTTCCTTCATGTTTTTTTCTCTCTTCGTAAAAAGTCTCCAGCTCTGAATTGTCAAATATGTGACATCAAATTTTATACAGAAAAATGCCCACTGCTTGGCCTTGTGGTCCCATCTCATGACTCAAAAAGACTTGTAGCTGTGTAGGGTTTGAGCCATTGCTAGCCACGAGTCAGCCATCCCTCTGCTGCCTGCCCTGCAGTCCTGTTCATTTGAAAGCTGACTCTACCTGGGACCCAGAACCTTTCCATCCCTGCCTTGGCAAACTCAAGCTGCAGTCAGACCTTGTTATCCAGTCCTGAGAGCTCTGAGCAGGGCCTGCCCCTGGTGCTGAGGGCAGAGCAGGGAGCAGGAGTCCCAGCTCCCACACAGCTTCCTTCCATGATGTGGTAGGGAGGCAGAGAAGGAGATGCTTGTGAGTGCATGCATGTATGCAAGTGTGTGTGCCATGACACATGAGAATATGTGAATAACTGCATGTATTTGCACAACTGCACACCTGTACAGGTATCTTTGTAACTGCAAGTGTGTGTCCATGTGTTTGCACAGCTGCAGATTCATGTAGGTGTGTGCATGCCTTTGTGTAAGTGTGCAAGATTGCACATGTGTGGAGATGTGTGTAGCTGCATGTGTTATGGCTGCAGGTGTGTGCAAGTATGGGAATGTACCTGTGCAAATGTGCATGTGCATAAGTGTGTGCAATTGCATATGTGTACAGCTATGTAACTGTGCACATGTGTGTGCACATGCTTGCATGGCTGCGGGTGTGTGCATGTGTGTATTACCATGTTTGTGGCATGGTTCGTGTGAGAACTGACAGAATGCAAAAGGACAACAGGAAAACATCCTGCAGTGGTCACCTACTGTTAGTTACACAAGACGTGAACAGTTCGAGATTTTGCTTTCTCGCAGTAATCTCAGAACTGCCCTCTCCCCAGTTCTCTGAAGCAGATAAACTCGCCTGGAAAGGGAGAGCAAGGGCCTTGGCCCTGCTGGTACTCTTGAGGCTGCTTTGCTTTTCCAAAAGGCCTGACGCTCCATGCCGTGTGTCCCAGTGAGATGCCCATGGGTGGCGCTGTTCCTCCTCGCTCACCCACCCGCCGGCTTGCCGCTGGGCTCCCTCATGCCCAAGACTCCCCAGCAGGACGCTGATGTCCCCTCCTGCACCTGTTGCAAGCCGCCCCTCCCCATTCACGCCTGTCTACCCTGACTCTCCGACCCTCGCTTTCTTCTAGACCCTCCCTGCTTTTTTCAAACCCAAGAGCGGTCCTGAGTCCTCTATGAATTTCCCTCAACAATTCCAGGCAGTGCGGAGTTTCCTCGCCGTCTCCCGCTCGGTGAGCTGCTGCTCTCTGTGTCTCGGGTGGCTTGTGCCTGAGAACAGGAACGATCCTCCTCCTCAGATCTTGTGACTCACTTGTCTTGGCCCCGGCGTGCCTGGTGCTGTTCTTGCGGCTGCTCAGTTAAACACCCCTCGTCCTCAGGGACCAGTTGGGCTGTTTCCCTGGGCTGCTCAGGGCTGCATGGCAGGTTCAGAGAACCCACTCAAGGGCTCGTTGTCTCTGCTGCGGTGGTGGAATCCCCGGCGGGGTGATTGGGAGCCATGCAGCCCATATGGCTGTGTACCCGGGACGGAGGGTCACGGTCCGCTCCTGTCCGGCCCCACTGAGGGTAACGGTGGAGTCCTCAGTTCTCATTTTCAGCCTCATCACAGGAAGCTGTGCCCTTAGGATCAGTAGCCTTGGGGTGGACTAGGAACTGCAGAAATGACGCTGCCCTCCTCTCTCAGCTGCCTTATTGTGCAGTGGGACGAGACCTTGTCGCTCCAGGCTCACGGTGGGACCGAGGTATGGAAGCGTGGCAGGGCCAGGCCAGCAGTGGGGCACCAGAAGCCACCGCACCCACGCCGCAGGCCACGGAGGCACAGCGCGGGTGCTCACCTTGCTCACAGGAGGCAACGTGGTGGTTCCAGACATGAGTCTGTCCCGTTTCCTTTTCAGATGGGAAGCTGTACGATGCCTATGTCCTGTACCCGAAGCCCAGAAGGGACAGCCAGTGCCACCACGTGGACCGGCTGGTGCTGAAGCTCCTGCCCGAGGTCCTGGAGAGGCAGTGCGGGTACAAGTTATTTATATTCGGCAGGGACGAGTTCCCTGGACAAGGTGGGTTACGAGTGAGGTAGAAGTCGACAAGGGGCCAAGCGAGAAGGGACTCTGGGGCTGGGGACCTGGCTCGGCATCATGCACGGGACCCCGGCTTCCATTCCCAGCACCACTGGCGAGAGAAACAGAAGACAAAACCAACGAGGGCCCTGTCCTTCCCTTTACACTGCGGGGCAGCTCTGCGCCCCTCCCCACGGCCCTGCCTGACCTGGGCTGAGGTGCTGGGAACCGTGCCCTCCCTTCCCCCCAATCTCCTGGCTGCGCCATCGTCTGGAAGTCTCACTGATGGTGATAATGTGAGGCTCACTTTGGAGTCTTACGGTCAACCAGTCACACGGGCGGGTGACAGCCTCGGGGACGTGTGACCTTTATTCCCCCGTCACTGTGACTCACTTCAGAGGTTTCCCATCACTTTAAATATATAAATCAGGTCATGTTTAAAGCTGATTTTGTAAACCTCCACCCCCTTGCTCCTCCTGAGTCTAAATTTTTTCAACATCTCTGAACCTCCATTGCCTCACCTGTGAAATGGGGATGAGAACCCTTCCCCACCTCAGCTCGGAGAGGAGCGGTGTGGAGCTCGCACGGGCCGCACGCTCAGCCCCATAGCTTCTGTCTTCCGTCTTTGCTGGTTGTGCAACAAACTGGATTCTGAAGCAGACAGCCTGTTCCACTCAGCGGGAACATTCACTCACTCGGTCACTCAGCAAATCTTTCTTGAGACCCTCTGCATGCTGGGCCCTGGTCCAGGCACTAGCAATGTGAAAACAAGTCGCCTCTGTGCGGGTGACAGTCTACCTTTCCATCCCAGGGCAGGGGGCAGGGGGCGGGCATACAGATTGTGTTGGCAGAGCTGGGTCTGTAGAGACCCCCACCCCCCTCCACCGAGCCGTCAGCAGGGTGTCCCGCTTGGTTTCCAAATGGAAATTCTGGCCACTTACATAACTGTAAAGTGCAAGGAGAAAACACAACTGCAAGAGGAACGCAGTGTTTGAGCTGACTACATTTCGCCCAGCTTTTTAAAATTCTATTTTCTTTTAAAGAAAAGTATGTTCATCATGTAATCTACCCCAGACCCTCAGCTATGCCGGGGCTCTGATGCAGTCGGTGTGGGCTGTGGAACAATGATTCATGAGTGTAGGGTTCTTCAGGAAAAGCCAGGAAGGCCTCACAGGGGAGGTGCTGGACGTGAAAACATTTTAAAAAATTCCATTCCTACTTTAAAGACCATTTTCTCCCCCAGGGACCCTTTCTGCCCCCCTCAGTAACACGGCCCCGGCTGGCTCAGTCTGTCCTCTGAGTGTCCTCCCTTTGTTCCAGCCGTGGCCAGTGTCATCGACGAGAGCATCAAGCTGTGCAGGAGGCTGATCGTCATTCTTGCCCCGGAGTCCGAGTCCTCCAGCTTCGGCCCTTTGCAGAACCTGTCAGAAGAGCAGATCGCAGTGTACAGCGCCCTCATCCAGGACGGCCTGAAGGTGATCCTCATCGAGCTGGAGAGGATCACGGACTATGGCACCATGCCCCAGTCCATCCAGTACCTCCGGCAGAAGCACGGCGCCGTGCAGTGGCGTGGGGACTGCACGGAACAGGCGCAGTGTGCCCAGAGCAAGTTCTGGAAGGAAGTGAGGTACCGTATGCCCCCCAGAAGGTACCCACCATCTTCCCCAGGCCCGCTTCAGTGGCACAAGCCCTGCAGCCGCAAGGGAGGCACGTGGGAGCCCTGCGCAGGCCGGGTCACCCACTGACCCGGGCCTTGGCTGGGGGCTCACTGCCGGCCGGGGTTGCAGCGAGGACAAGGCTGCCTGCCCCGGAGCTGGCCTGTTTGTGTTGTGCGAAGGCTTGTGTTCATCGCTGTCATTTGCTTTGATCAGCGCTACTGCTGCTTTAGGGGACGACAGCAGCTCTGCAAAGCCCCCATGAGCCCTTGCCGGGTATGGGGATGTTCAGTGCAGGGCCCAGGGACGGCAACTGAGGGCTGCAGAGAGGAGGTCCAGGGTCAGAAGGCTCAGGCCCTGCTGCCCAAGTGGGGCCTGGGCTGTTCAGGTGCCAGGAGGGCGGCATGTGGCGTGGGGAGGCTGCTGGGGAGGGCCACCCTGGGCTTGTCCCACCCGCTGTCACTAGGGCTCCAGTCCTCACGCAGTGTCTACTGTGCTTGAATCGCCTCCCTCCTCCAGGGCCGATGAATAGTTGTAGCCAGTGTTAGCACGGTGTCCCTGGAAGGTACTTAGATGTCACCTCACGGTGGTCATGCACTCCACGGGCCCTGAAAGACTCTCTGCTAAGCCACAACAAGTGCGAACTTTTCCACCTTTCCTTTTGACACTTGTGTCCACTGAACCGAGCAGCGAGTGGGGCTCACACGGAGGGTGGCGTCTGCCCAAGTGGAGAAGTGTGAGTGTCTGAATAGTGAGTGCACGCCCATCACAGGTGCATCTCTGACTTAGCAACTCACAAGGTTTGATACTCAAAGCTAGCTATCAGCCCTCAGCCATGATAAGCTCATTAAAGGGTCCTTCCGATCAGCTCTGGGCGGTTTCTTGGCTTCTGTTTCTCCTCCCGAGTGGGAATCTTGGTATTCTTAGTGCACCTGCATTTTGACCACCACTAGCTCAGGTGTGAAATTTTCTACTTCTAGCATCATATGGCTCTCAAAGAGTGTGTGCTTTGGGGGCATTTCAGCTTCTCAGGCTGGGGATGCTTGGTCTCTGTTGCGTCTTGGGGTCTTTTGTGTTTAGGGTCTCACACGGAGGACAAAGTGGGTGGGCCCAGAGGGAGGGAGGGTGGAGGCCGGGGATGAACTCTCACAGACAGGTGCTGTGCCGTGAGAAGGCCAGGGGGAAGGCCCAGGGTGGGGGAGGGCACGGTGGACTCTGACCTGACGTCACCTTTGGTGACTCCCCGGTGCCTTCCAGGGTGCAAGGCAGATGTAGTCAGGAGCGCTGCTAAAAGGGATGTGTGCGCAGGGTTCCAAGAATACAGGTCTGTCTGCTGGGCGTGCAGTATCTGTTCCTTAATCTACAGAACCAAAAGCCATGCGGGAAGGCTGTGGAGGGGCACCAGCAGGAAATGGACTCCTGGTCTCTGAGCTTGGCTCCTGGCTCCCGTCCCCCTTTCCCCACTTGCTTTGTTCAAGCAACACCAGTGACTGGTAAAGGGCCAAAGCCTCTCCGACCACTTGGCGCACAGGGAGGCTGTCTAACTGCGTGCAGCGAAGGCCCTGCTTCTCCCAGCTCTCCGGACGGTTGCTGTCTGACCCCCATGCTCCCGCCTCCAGCCCCCGCAGCATTGTGTGTTGAGCCATCAGGAGGTGACATGGTGACAAAGGCCAGGCTGCTGGCCCTTCGTGGGTTATTTCCATCTTCTGTCCCCGCTGTAGCAAATGGCCCTCCCACCTGGCACAGACAGGAGACCCCGCGTGATCTCTGCCCAGATTCCCTCTCTCTGGCTCATCTTTTAAAAATCAAGCAATCACAGCGGGATGTGGCTGACCTGAATATGACCGCCCTGCGTGCAGAGCCAGCGGCCTCACCTGAGCTGGGTGGAGGGGCCGGGCTGGCGGCGGCACCCCCAGCCGTGTGAGTGAAAGAGCTGCAGCCAGGGCTGGGACAGCTCGGCCAAACCAGGGGCTGAAATTCCTCCCCGGGCCGAGCTCTCCACCACCCACCTCCCAGGCAGCAGTTGCTCTGGAGCTTGTAGAGGAATCACGCAGAGCACCTTCCCCGTGGTACCTGGGGAGATTGTCACCCGGAGAAAGCCAGCCTGAGATGACCACAAAGACTGGGCTTGGGGGCCCAGGTCGTCTGTGGGGAGGTCTGAGCAGATGTGGGGTCCTGGGGAGATGGCTTGTCCTGGGGACTGTCACTTCCTTGTGTCCGTCCCTGGGTCTGCTTGCCTGAGCTTGTTTGGGCTCAGTGTCAAGTTCAGGACCTTCAAACCCTGCAGGTGAGCGCCCACAGGGGCAGGTCCCAAACCCACAGGTCAGGGGAGACTGCTCGCGCTGTCTCCATGTGTCCTGCAGGGGGCGCCCTGGTCCTGCCCGACTCCTATACAGGACCCTTAAGCTATGCAGTTTAGAACAGCTGAGCTTTGGAGCTTTGGAGGATTGACTGGCTCTCAGCTCTGCCCTCCTCCTTGCCCTGGAAGCCCTAGAAGACATGGGTTGTTGGGAAATGATTTTCTGTAGACTTTTCTAGAGATGTGCTGTCCAGGCAAGGGGAGTGTCACGTGAAATCTCTTTGTCAGAGCAGCCACCCCTAGGCCAGGCATGTCCAGGGAGTGAAGCCCCGTGCAGCGTGGTACACGCAGGAGCCCAGTCTGCCCCCCAGTGCCCGGCCCCTTTTCTGCTGGCTTCACGCCTCCATCGTGGTATTGTGGCTAGACGGCATTGTTCTGCAGCTGTCTTGGGGATTTGCCTTCATTCTGGGCTGTGGGATGCAGCGCT